CTTGCTTACGTAGCATCAGGTATTTTTCAAGCAGTGATCGCCTTATCGTGCTTTTAGGTGCTTTTATTATCTGGTACCTTCCCTCATCCTAGGTTTCTGGTTCGTGTGTCGGCCACTGGCCTGGCCACACTGCAGAAGCCTGAATCAAGTTTCTGATAAGCAAGCATTTTATTCCAACACTCGTCCAAGCAGTCATTGCAGAGTCCGTAACGACTGAGCGCAGATTAAAAAAAAAAAAAGTACACCTCTAAATATATCACTACCTCAAATACCTAAAATTAGAATCAAGTGCAGATGATTAGAACATTGTTAGAGAGGATCTGGAGGAACCTGTCTTCCTGAAATTTCAAACATTTAGTTTGATTTGCTCTTTGTTATTGGAGTGGGTAGTATCACCATGCCTAGATCAAAAGAGCTCTCTGAGGCCCTCAGAAAGAAGATTATAGATGCCTATGAGTCTGGGAAGGGATTGAAAAAGATCACCAAACAACTGGACATAAATTTTTCCACTGTCTGGAAGATCATCTACAAGTGGAGATTTCAAACAACTGCCAGGCCATCCCAGCAAGTTCAGCCCAAGAGCAGAAGGCAAGATGCTGAAAGGGCCTCTAAGAATCACATATCCTACAGATAGCTCTCACCACTACTGATGTCACTCTACCATTAGAGAGTAGCTGCACAAATTAGATCTACGTGGGAGGTGTCCTAGGAGGAAATCTCTGCTGTCCGGAAAGAAAGCCAGGGCAAGACTAACGTTTGCTCATGAACACCTAGGCAAAGACCAGGATTTCTGGAACGTTTGCTCATGAACACCTAGGCAAAGACCAGGATTTCTGGAACAATGAGCTCCAACAGACGAGGCAAAGACAGAGTTATCTGGCCACAGTACCAGAAGACATGTTTGGCAAAAACCAAAGACAGCATTTCACCAGAAGAACCAGATACCAAGTGTAAAGCATGGTGGTGGAAATGTTATGGTTTGGGGCTGCTTCGCTTGCATCAGGGCCTGGGCGGCTCACCATCATAGAATCCACTATGAATCCTTCATTGCACCAGGGGGTTCTGGAGGATAACGTGAGGGCATCTGTCAGAAGACTGAAGCTCAGTTGAAAGTGGACCTTGCAACATGACCATGACCCTAAACGTTCCAGTAAATCTATCAAGAAATGGCTTAAAAAAAAGAAATGGAGGGTTCTGGAATGGGTTAGGGTCAAAGCCCAGATCTAAATCCCATCAAGGTGCTGCGGGGCAGTCTGAAATGGCTGTTCAGGCAAGAAAGCCCTCAAATATCACAGAGCTGAAAAAATTCTTCCCAGTCGATGTCAGAGATTGGTAGGCAGTTATAAGAAATACCTACTTGAGTTTGTTTCTGCCAAAGGGGTTGATACCAAGTATTAGAGCCAAGGGTATACTTACTTTGTCCACATGCAAAACTCGCATTTATGTTTATTTATATTACACAATGGACTACAAAATGTAAATGGTGCCTGATATTTATTATATTATATCCCTTTATCTATCAACATTGTTGAAATGAAGATCAAATATCTGTACATTGAAATATGTTGAAAAGTCAAAAATTTCAATGGGGTGTACTTACTTTTTCACATGACTGTATATCATTTCTTAGTGTTCAGATTATTCAGAAGTCATCTTAGGCACCATCCAAGCTCACTCTTAAACACAATGAGGAAGGGTGGCCTGATAGGAAAGGCCCCTCATGGCTCTCACTGCAGAACTGATCGGTCACACATCTGGTACCCTTTCCATCTATCACACCTATGTTCTGCCCACTTGCACTGGCCCGAAGGAGAATACATACTTGAAGCGAACCTTCTCATCCATGTCCAGGGGAGGCTCGTGGGTGATTAAGCTGACCAGCTCCTCCATGCAATGCTGCTGACAGAGGAAATCCACCAGCTTCCGGTTCTGTGCTTTGCATTCTTGGAGGATGTCATCTTCATCCATCAACTCATGCAGAGTAACATCCCCTTTGTCCAGCAATTTGTCAACATGTGACGTTGTATTCAGATCAAACTTCCAAAACATGATGGGGGTGCACACACACCTACCTGAAAGGGAGAGAGGACAATATAATCACCACACTGCTAATACCAAAGCATTCCCTACATCCTGCTTTTTTCTGGCTTCCTGTTTCTCGCAGAAAAGTACTTTCCAGGAACATTGGAGAACCAATGGATTTATCCTTGACAAAACTCCACCTTTTGCTAACTGGGCAGGAATATCTACCTCTGATTACTGAGAATGAACCAGCTGGTGGTTTGGTATCAGAGCCACTGGCAAATTCACTCTCTGAGAGTACCACGTGGCCAGTCATTCAACGAGATGGGCAGTGACAAATTCAATATATAAACAAAGAACAAATAAATTAATTAAAACATCAAAGAACCTTTAGGTGAATCTTGTTTCTTTCACCATGTTCTGTAATCAAGGAGCTTGACCGCTTCTTAGCATGAAGCAAAGATGGGCACAGGGAGACACAATTATGCAAATGGGGAAAAGTTGTTTCCTTCTTTCCCACAGTGCTAGAATGCTGGGTAATCCACTAGAATTAAATGTAAACTTCTTTATACAACACAAAGGGGCCTGTACAAATTCATAGATGAAAGGCTATCAATGGCTATTAAACTTCACATTTATTGACTGACTGAACTGAGAGATCTGCCCAACTCTGTAAGACCCTGGGCAGCATATAACATTAAAAACAATTAAAGCTAAAATAATAAGAACAGAACAATGTGTGCCTCAGAAGAAAACTTTTAGCTGAAAGAGGTTCACCAACAACCCTAACCTTAAGCCTGGGGAAAAAACTGGATCTTCAAAGACTTTTCAAAAATAACCAGAGTAGGAGCAACACTGATTTCTGGGGAGATGCTTCAGCTTCCAAGTGGTCTTCAAGACATGTAGAGCACCTTGCAATGGTCCACCCACAAAATGAGTAGGGTGGGAGTGACAGTCTGGACCCTTCCAGTCCAGGAATAGGTGCAACTGACACAAAAGATGAATTTGTGCAAAGTCCTTCCTGGCCACACTAACACCTACTCTTTCAGCAGAAACTGCAAGTCCAGGAAAACCACCAAGTTGCATACCAGTCCTGAACAGAAAAATTTCCAGGCCTGGAAGGTCCAAATACCCATAGCCCTTCAGTCTTGCTGGGACTGAGCCAATCTAGTCTTTCCCATCCAGCTCCTCCCGTCAGACCCTAGGACAAAACCTTGACACCATCATTTGGACAGCCTAGGGGCAGAGGCAGAGATGCACCCCCTTCTCAAGAGGCCATCCTTAGATCCAACAGTGTTGGATAACTTTAATCAAGGCTCCAAGGCTCCAAGCTCTCCAAGTTGTAGAGAGGGTGGTGGGCTCTCAGCTTTGGAAGGCCCTGGATGAAGCAGATTTATCTGGACCCTTTTCAGTCTGGGTTCAGGCCAGGTTGTAGTACTGAGAAGGCAATGGTCACACTTGTGGATGACCTTTGGAGGGCTCAGGATGGGGATGGTGCATCTATCCTGGCCCTCCTGGATCTCTCAGTGGGTTTTATTACTGTTGACCATGGTATCCTTCTGAACCAGCTCTGGGGGGCACTGTTTTGCAGTCGTTCTCCTCCTTCCTCCGTGGCCAGTTCCAGTCAGTGTTGTTATGGGGAGAGAGGTCCATTCCTAGGTCTCTACTGTGTGGGCCTCAGAGCTCTGCTCTCCCCCCTCTCCTATTTAGAATCTAAATGAGGCCGCTGGGAGAAGTCATCTCTTGGCATGGGGTTTGGTATCATCAATATACAGATGATACTCAGTGTCTGGAGGCTGTGAGGGTTTCGATGGGGAGGAATCAGCTTAGACACAATCCTGGCAAATTGAAGTGGCTTTGGGTCTCCACCTGTAATATGTGGGAATGACCTTGGGAGATGCAGTGAAGAAATGCTGTCTAGGGAATGGTCAGATAGCCTGCAGCTGGACAGTGGATGGGACGAGAGGCTCAGAAGGGACTCCCCCTAGTTTCTCAGGCTGTAAAGGAGACGGGGGGAGAGAATTGTACTTACAGACTTGCAAGATTCTGTTAACGTAGCTTTACAATAAAGTACAATTAGCTTATCTGGTCTATCTGTGAAGGCTGACACATACACACATATCAGATCTGGTACACTGTCATCCTTGGCTCTTGAGGAGCAGGTGGCAGCTACAGCTAGGGGGCCTTTGCACAGGTTTGCCTTGTGCATAAATTGTGCCCTTTCCTGGGCTGGGAGGCCTTGCTCATAGTCACAAATGCCTTAATCACCTCTCAGATAGATTATTGCAATGCACTCTACATGGGGCTGCCGCTGAGGACCACCCGGAAGTTACAACTGGTGGAACATGCAGTGGCATCTGCAGTTCTGGGCAATTCACTTTTGCCTTTGTAACATCACCGCTACGTGAGCTGCACTGGCTTCCAGTTGTTTTCCAGGTGTAATTCAAAATGCTGGCTATCGCTTTTAAAGCCCTAAATGGCATGAGGCTAGGTTATTTGCAAGACCACTTCTCCCTGAGGGTATCTGCCCATCCTACCAGGTTAGATAGGGTGGGTATGCTCCCGGTCCCTTCCCTTAAATGATGCCATCTGGTGGGACATCTGAGACACACCTTTTCTGTGGCTGCCCTAACGCTTTGGAACAGACTCCCCCAAGATTCGGAGGGCTTCCATCCTATTAGACTTCTGGAGGGCTGTGAAGACCTGGCTCTTCAACCAGGCATTGGGCTAGGATAGAGCTGAGCCCAGCAAATGCTAAAGTAAATGTAGAGTTAGTGGGATGTTGTAGCAATGTAGTTGGGCTACATGGTGTTGTTGTGGGGTTTTGTTGGTCATATTTATTGTTTTTATCGAATGTCACTGTGAGACACCTAGGATTATCATGTATAAGATAGATGGCCACGTAAGTTTTATAAATAAATAACTGGGTGTCATGACTCCAAATTGGCAGATAATCTTGCCATGGTGAGAGTGTTGAGCCCTAAGGCAGTTTCATGGAGGGAACTCCAAATATGCCCACTTTCAGGTCTCATGGGACAGGGGGACATAACTGGAGATAGTTGATACCACAAGTAGCCTAAACCTATGCCATGAAGGCCTTCAGAGGTGATAACCAGCACCTTCAATTGCACCTGGAAACTGACAGAAGCCAACACAGCTAGCAAAGTAGTTGTGCTACACAGGCATATCATGGTACGCCTGTAACATGCAGGGCTACATTTTGGACCAACTGTAGTTTCTGAATGATCTTCAAAGGCAGCCCCACGTACAGTGTGCTGTAATAGTTCAAATAAGAAGTGACCAAGGCATGAGTGACCATGAGCAGAGCTTCACAATGCAGGAATAGGTGCAACTGGCACACCAAAAGTTGTGCAAAGGCCCTCTTGGCTATGACAGTCACCTACTTCGGCAGGAGCCATGAGTCCAAGAGGATCCCCAAATTTCATACTAGTTCTGCTGGGGGAGTGCTAGCCCTCCAGAACTAAAGATGGAAAACCTTCATATTCAAGATGCCCTAAAACCAATAGTCACTTGATCTTGCTTGGGTTGAACTGAAGCTTGTACTTTCTCAACCAGAATCTCAGAGCCTCCCGGGAAAGAATCTTGATACCATCACTTGGTTGGGCTAGGGTAAAGATTAAGAACGATATGTCATCAGTATATTGAGGGTATCCATATCAATGGTTAGCTTCATATAACACCATGTAGATGTGAAATAGGAGTAGAGAAAAGAGAGAGCCCAGAGGAATCCCCAAAAGTAAGGGTCTAGGACTAGAACTCTTCCCACCCCAAAATACTGACTGGAACTAGCCTTGGGGAAACAAGAACCACTGCAGTACCCTGCTCCCTACTCCCTACTACTTTGGAAATTGATCCAAAAAAACATACCATTATCAATGGTATCAAAACCTTCTGAGATCAAGGAAGGCCATGATGGATGTAGTATCTCCATCATGGCTCTGCCACACGTCATCTACAAGTGCAACCAATAAAGTCTCAGAACTATAATCCAGACTGAAAAGGGTCCAGGTAATCTGTTTCTTCCAGGGCTCTCTGGAGCTGCAAACCACTCTCAACATCCTTCCCTAAAATGGGAAGGTTGAAGAGAGGATGAAAATTGTCCAGAATCCTTGGATCCGGGGATGGTTTCTTCAGAAGGGGTAGACCATTGCTTCTTTGAGAGCTGGTGGAATCATCCCCTCCCTCCACCTGTATCAAACATACATAATCTCCCAAGAGGACTTAACAGCCAGGAGGGACAAGGATCTAATACACAGGACCCCTTTATAGTCCTAAGGATGCTGTCCACTTTCTTGAGACCAAGAGGTTGGAACACTTCCTAGAAAGCCATGCTAAACCATGCCTCAATCAATTCCTAAGGACTTCCTACCCAGTCAAACACAGAGTGTATCTGAGCTACTTTTTCTGACAAAAGTCTAAAAAAATCTTCACAGCTCCCTCACAGATGTTCCTCAAGCCCATCCCTATTTAAGAGGGCCTGGGTGATGCTGAACAGGGCTGCTGGCCAACTATCTGTAGATGCAATAAAGAGTGGAAAAATAATCACGTTTTGCTGTTCATTACCACAAGAACCTTAATAAAGGTTCTTACCCATGCTCAATTGGATTGAGTTCTTTTATTTCTCCAGCAAGTGCTCTAGGCACCTCTCCTGCTTCTTCATCTCCTGAAGCTCCTCTGTAAACCAGGGAGCTTTCTAAGACCCATGAGGAAAGACAGTCTACACTGTGTATCTTTACTTTAAAAAATTTAAGGGCTGTCTCTTGACAGGGTGGCACTACCCCTGTGGAAGCAGGTCCACAACTTGGGGGGCCTTCTGGACCCACAGCTATTGCTGGATGATGTGCCAGTTACAGCCCTACCTGGAGCAAGAGGACCCTATAACAATGACTCACGCCCTCATCACCATTTGACTAGACAGGGGCTGCCTTGGAAGACCACTAAAAAGCTGCAACTGACTCAGAATGATGAGGCCTGATTGTTCGCTGGGATACACCTACCTACATGTGCACACAACAGCAATGCTCCAGGC